CAAACTTTTTCCAAATCCAGGAACTTTTTCTTGTTGGCCACATTCACGCACACAGCGCAAGCCTCTCCCCCTTGGCCCAATTGATCTTTCTTGCAACCTGAACTCTCGACCCAGAGCATTCCGTCCTTGTCTAAGACCTAGGTAGGCGTGGGCGTCTTTGACATTCTGAATTCTTTCACATGCCATAACTCGAAGCACACAACAACCCAAAAACGCCACTCACAGCATATTACAAAACTTATCTGACACTATCGCAATCTGAGGCGCCAAGTTGGCAGAATCCAGAACAGACGGTGTGAGGCCTATGCAACCAGTCTGAAACCACTTCTCCAACAACTCAAGGTTTTCTCCCAAGAGATATTTCTGGCCCGTTGCGCCAGACAAGCAAATGCCGCGGCAATTTCCCTGTGAACCAGCCCTGTCCGCGGCCGCCTGCAATGCTGCCTGGTGGCTGGCAGACCGCTCGTGAGCATTCCTGGTCCAAGTAAAAAAGCAAAAGAAATTATTTTGAAGGTGGTTTAGTTTGCAACCACCTTGAAAATATTATATACAAATACAAAACCATTTGCATAGTATAGAAAGTAAAGCTCAGGTATATTAATATATCACATGTTTACCACCCAACCACCACAAAAATAAATATTTTGCAACCACCTTGAAATACAAACACATAATAACACATATGCATAGTCAAGACAGTAAAGCTAATGTATTTCAATATATCACCGGTTTACCACCCAACCACCAAAAAATAATTTACAGTACAAACAACTGCGCACAGTCCAAGCCACAAAGCCAGGGTGTTCGTCAAACATGGAAAATGCAGGAAAATGCCACATACCATGCATTGCACAGGTCTCTTCTGCATTTCGATGGTCAACGCATTCTCCCCAGCAGACTTGCTCTTAGGCAATCTTGCCGCGGCCTCTTCTCGGTCCAGGAAACGGTATTGATCGGGCCTCCTTTCCGTCAGGTAATCCAGAAGAGAAAACTTCTGAGCTTCAGCTTCATCTTTGCTTGGTCTGCCAGCGCGTCCCCTCTTTTTCGGAGGTGATACCAAGTCGTCTGGCGCAGACACAGCAGCAGATTCCTTTCTTTTGCCTTTTTTCTGTGGGGTCGGCTGCTCAGATCCAATGTCAATAGCATATTCCTTGATCAAGCCCACACAGATGTCACAGGTAATGTCACGAAGACCCAGCACTCCGTTGAGAAATTCCTTCCAATGTTCACTTCGTCCAGCAAAAGCGGTTCCCCTGTGGAATACCTGGAAGTGCTTGTTGAAGTCAAGCCCTGCTTTCTTGAGAACAGCTTTAGCTTGGGTCTCTCTTCGTTTCTGCACTGCCTTCTGTGGACGGTCATTGAGAAGGTCGCCAGCTCTGACAACCAATAGGTTATTCTCACAGTCATCGTCAACCAGCGTGGGCTTTACCTGTTGTCTGTCACATGCAGGCTCATGCTTTTGTTCCTTCTCAGGATCAAACCTTTTGCTGCGCTTCTTTTCTGAGGTTTGCTGCTCATCTGACGACTTCTCTCGCTTTGGTCTGCAAGCACTGCCGCTCTCTGTCATGACGTCTTCTCCCTCTCTCTTCAGCCCTGTTTCCATGTCCTGCTTTGCACTGGAAGCGCCAGTTGCTGGAACTGAAGGTTGACCTAACTCATCTCCCTCAGCGGCCGCCTGGCTTGCCGCCAGTTCATCTAATCCACGTAGTCCAGCAACACCTAGAACGCAAAGTCTGCGCAAAGCTTTCTCAGACAGAACCTCGTTTGGAATCTCAATCTCTGGAAGAGGACCCTGCAGTTTGTTCGTTGCATGAAGGTGCAAGAGGTAGTGCAGAATCAACACCATGCGATGACCGCAACTCCAGTCATCATGCTGGGCTGGCGTCTTTGCATTGACAGGTCTCTCCAATTTGATCCTGAACACGCACAGCACAAGAAATCCGCTGAATATCAAAGAATGCTCAAACCGAAAGCTTATAGTATCTTTCAATATAGTTCACGTATGTTCACATTATTACACACAAAAAAAGCGTAAAAGGACAATAGAGCCACATCAAGCGTATTCAAGCGTCTTTCCAACTCCATTCTCTTGCAGGAGGCGCTCCAGGGACAAACAGGCAGCACTCGCAGCATCGTAGATCGACTGTGCTGGTGGTGACCGCCCGTCAAACAGAGCTGGCTTCCAACCAGTGGTCTCGACAACCATGAGGGCTTGATGGTCAGAATCGTGCCTTAAATTGAATTTGGAGAAGCAATGAGCAGTGTATGAGGTATTATGAGATCAATTATGGTATATATATAGATATAGTAAAAATGAGTAAAATATAGTAAATCACACATATACTCACAGTATCCTCAATCAAACAAATTCAAAAGATATAGTCTTTCCTAATCTTTCCTAGGCAAGGAACACCACTAGGACATAGACATCAGGTTCTGCACGCCAAACAAATTGGCGGTCCAGCACTTGGTAGTCCGAGAACTGAACCATAAAGGGCCAATGAGGACCATACTCATTCCGTGCGAGGTGCACAGCAGCATGAATAAAGTGGCCCCAGCCACTCTTCCTTCCTCACATAAAGCGGTTAAAGCAGGCGAACCACATCATCCCACATACAAACCTACACCAACATACACAAATATCTATATATACAAAAAAAAGCAAACATAATCAAAAACCTAAAAAACTACAAGAAATCATCAGAACGACCGGGTCGATAAGTCTCGCACTCCCAACCATGCAAAACGCAACGTTCTAAATCTCGCGCGAAGTCTTCGTCCAGCAGCTCATTTACCGCATAAGGATCAGAACTTACAGACGCACGGCTCTGCTCCACGAAGTAGTCCAGAACAGGCCGCCACTGAGGAAGGCAGCTGAGGTACTTCCAAAAGTCCTGGAATGAACATATTATGTTGCGACCACATGTGAAAAATATTGAGCAATTGGTTGGGATTGGAACATATTGGAATGCTGAGATCCACTACATAACATTGCACACCCACAGATATCAGCCAAAGTGTACAGCAAATATCAATAAATATCAGAAGGTTACAGCACTCCTGTGGGATGGTCTTGTGTTTTTTCTTCGGCGACAGCTTTGCGAACTGTTTAAAGGTCACCTGTGTCACAGCAATGCATGCTCCATACTTTGCCAACTACGCGATAAATTGTAATGATCCAAAATTCAATAGCTCTGTATGTATTTGGTAGAAAATTGTAGAAACTTGTTACGTCAAGTTGCACTTCCACTACTCAAGCCATTGAGAGCAGCAGCTGCTTCTGCAAGGAATGTGTTCCAAAACTCTCTCCTGGGCAACAACCAGTTGGTGGCTGGAAAAAATGTAAAGCTGAACATGAACATGAGAAAGATTCATGAACGTGTAAATTGCAATACAAAGCTCTGCTCTCTCCACGGAAGTCGGTAGAAACTCTGGCTGGCTGGTAAGTCCGCAATGTTCTCTGATTCAGCAAATACCTGACATAAGGCTGATAAACAGCCTCTAAAACCAAAATCAGCATACAGCGCATACTGCGCACACAGATGCAGACAGACTATATAATTACACAAGACATACATATACCTTCATATATATATATATATATACATGCATAGACAAACATTAGCTATCATTAGCTGCTCGTTAGCTGGTTATAGCTGGTTTCATTTATTTTTTGATGTGGGCCAGGTAACCACATGAGGCAAACGCACTGCCCGTCGAAGCTCTTCTTGTTCACAAAGGGCTCGCAAGCACTGGGGAACAGCATTACCCTGTCCCAATTCCTTGGCTCTTCCATGGTGTGAAAAGCTACAGCGTACTATAGAGCGATAACTCAAGTAGCACGTGGCAAATAGTTCAAGTGCTTCAAACAAGCCACCTTTTTGCAGAATGCTCCAGTTGCGTCCGTAGATGACTCCTGATGTGTGCAAGAAACAAACTCATGGATCATCACATTGGAGTCATTCTCACGCGCAAAAATTATTTCATAGGTCCATGGCACCCCTACCCCGCCCAAAATAAATTATTCGTTCTCCTGTGTAGGCTGGATGTCTGGATGCGCTGATGCCGCTGCATTGGAGCCCTCAGGACGCACCAGCCCACAATGATACAGCCAACCCCAGAATTCACACAGGTAGAATTATTTATCTGGCCTGACACCACCCTACCACCTCTCAAATTGTTTATTGGGTCTTCTTATGTCTTCTTGCCAAATCCCAATCACAACCACAACTCACAGAGTTACAATGATTTCTCTGGTCTGACACAGCCCTACCACCTCTCAAATAATTTAGGGGTCTTCTTGCCAAATCCCAATCACAACCACAACTCACAGAGTTACAATGATTTCTCGGGTCTGAGACAACCCTACCACCTCTCAAATAATTTAGGGGTCTTCTTGCCAAATCCCAATCACAACCACAACTCACAGAGTTACAATGATTTCTCTGGTCTGACACCACCCTACCACCTCTCAAATAATTTATATACAGGGTCTTCTTCCCAAACCCCAATCAATCCCAATCACAAAGCAGACAAGTCACGTCCTTCTTGATCACCGTTGCAGGGCTCACTGCGGCATCTGCTGCTTCCTGAATGTATCTGAATGTGGTGTTGGGACACATAATGTACAGTAGCTGAATGGCCATTGGAGCAGTGTGTGTCAAACAAATACTGCACACCTCAGATCACCTCAACAGACCTCAACAAAACAAACTGTGGTTGCGTCAAAGCCCGTTTGATCCCGTTTGTTCGGAAGCGTCAATGTCTGCTTCTCCATGTCTGCGCACTGGAAAGCACTGAGAAAGGAGGTTCAAGACGCTGCACACGGTCGTCAGACATCTGTACAGAGACCCACAAACAGATGGACAACTTCTGACAGCAAACAATCTGGATCAATCTGGGGCAGTGAGCACAGACTGCCAAACGAACACTCCACTATTACGCCAGCAGTGACCGGCAAATTTCCTAATCTGATACAGGGGTACAAAATGGTACAAAGGTCAATTCTGATCAATCTGATCAAAAGCATCTACCCAAATCTGAAATAAGGCTGTACAAAAACTGGCTGTGTAGTCTGCTGTTTTGGAAAGATCTGCGCAACCGTGTACACGGCCCTGAGCATCCTTTTTGTAGTATGCTCTAGGTCGCTTGCGCTTTGACTGGCGGTCTTCCTCAGAAAACACACACAAATCTGCAACATCTACAGTATATATACTGTATCATACTGTATAGACTTTTTTATGATTTTTTATGTATGACTGACATCGGCAAATGTCGGCAATCTACGGCAATCTACTCACACAATGTCAAGCAGCAAAATGAAGCAAAACACAACCTCAAATCATATCACAAAAACAACTGAAGACATACTTCGATATTCAGACTAAGTTGCCAAACGTGCTTTGTACTTCTTGCGGTCTGCAGCAGTCAAGTGCCGTGCCATCTCTTCCAGGTTCGTCAAGTTTCCAAAGAGGTGGGTAGGTTTGAGTAGATCATGTTGAAAGAAACACAGCCTCAGCGCAACCAGACACTACAACCTCGTGTTGCCAAATAATAAAAGATAGGTACAATCAGAATCAATCAGATACAATCAGAGAATATAGATGAACCAGAAACGATACGAAACGCACTTCAAAGGCGCCATGTGTGGATCTTCCTGCAGCCCAAAAGGGCTCCCATGGCAATCATCCACTCTAGTTTAAACAGCCAGGAGGAGGTGGGTTGTTCCAGAACCACGAAGAAGAACCGTTCTTCTTCAAAGAGAAGCTCCAGAAACACACCAAGGTTCTGAACAATCAGGTTGCTCATCCTAACCTTTTTGTTCTTGAGGTCGCCTTTGCTGCCCAGGAGATGCCTCTTGTGAACGCTCGTAGACCTCAAGCGCAAAACATGAAACATGCACACAAACAATCAGAAACACATAGAAACACAATGCACCACAAGGTGGCTGATTCTGAATTACTCTGCTGTACTATATACACCTATTCTTGAAAAAACATGTCCAAATCTTGCAAAACCTGTCCAAATCACACAAGTTCTTACAAATTCTCATGCGTTCAGGATGCAGGAAAACGTTCATGGCGCAGGGTGGGCCGCCGATGATCACTCCACCAACCACAAGGCTCAAACCCAAACCTGGGGCAAGAAAGTTCATGGTTCATCACAACACTTCATTCTCTAATTGGAATCAAAGAATAGGCGAACAAATATCGTCTTGGGTACATTTGCTATGTCAAAAGAGATAACAAATATAAAAGACACATTCACACATATTCAGACTCCAAATTTGCAAAAATGTGCCTAGCAACGGAATAGATTCAAAAACCCTCTCTTGGATAGGATGTCATCACTGCGGCCACCAAGCAAGATGTCATACTGAGCAGCTTTGTAACCCCTCTTGGACCAGGCTTGGCTCATCTTTTTTGAGTAGCCAAAGATGTCTATGAGATGAAGATACCTGGTGCCTTTGAATCCCCTGGCAAAAGTCCTCAGTTCCTCAACATGCTCTGCTGCGTGAAACCACAAAGGTTCATCAAGAGTGGCGCTCAAATCGTCCTGCAAACATGGAGAGAAAATTACCGGCGCGAAATCAAACACCATGCAACACCTCCATCCATATCTGTGCAAAATATCACCCAAAAAATCACATTTTCACATCATATCATACATTATCATACCTCACCGCCTGATGCACGCACATCAACTATGTTCAACTATCCCGATTGAATTACATTTTATCCCTGTCCTTGGATCCGGCGTAGGTGCACACACCAAGCAGCAACATTGCACCAACCAAGCGTGCCAACGCCATCCCAGAATGCTAGCCCGGGAAAACAAAAGGACAAAGCTCCACTAGCTCCAGTCACTGTCTTCTCTGAGAAAAATATCCGAGCAGAATTGCTATGAGTTGCTTGTGCACACTGAGCACGTTGAAATAACCCACATACAAATACATACAAGCTTCAAAACTAGACGTAACCAATAAAGAAGCATGAGCAAAGCAAGCCCATGCCAAGCCTCATGCGGCACCGTCTGGTTCTGCTCAGGCAAATCTTTTTTTTTGGGCGATGGAGGCCTGATACTGTACATTGTGGGTACATCTCACACTGAAGCCCTTTTGAATTTCAACAGAACCATTTGAATGCTGGATAAATTCAATATATTAATCAGGCGGAGGCTGGGTACCCTACCTCTCAGCAAATATTTTCTCTGTGACTGACTCTGAACTGCGTTCCAAGAAACAGCAGCTTCAGCTTTCACTGGAGCTTGCATCGCCTGAGATATTAAACAGAATGCCCCTGGAAACCCTACCACCACTAAATTAATTTCTTCCTGAAATATAGACCCGGAAAAACAAACGGACAAATCTCCACTGGCTCTCTATCAAAAATTAAAAATACGGTCTCTGGGAACCCAACCAGCCCTGAATTAATTTTGGACCAGGTAAACATCTCAGAAAATGACAGAGATTCACCATATCTCACAAAACTTGACAGAGTTCTTGACTATTCTCAACTTGTGTCCTCAATATGAAATCCTTAAAGTTCAAAAGAAAATCATTTCACGCTAGCGTATACTACCTCTATCCAATTCTACCTGAGGCACTGTGGAGGCATCAGTATCTTTAGCCTCCGCTTTGACGCTTGCGGCTCCCCCAGCCGCATTCATCACAACCTCAATGACCACTTCGGGACACCACATTCAAGGCCAAAAATGATCTTACAAATTGATTCCACTGGACCCTTTCACAAAACCAAGCAGCACTCTTCATGCACTTTGACAAGCAAGTAGAAGAAATCCATCCGTAGTCCTGCCTCAGCAACTCCGTAGTGCTTCACTACTGAGGTAAGATTGCACACGCCGAGTCGTTAAGAAGCATTTGGATATGTTTCGATTTTGACTGCGCAGGACATGGAAACACGAATTCTGCTGACAAGACTCTTGATGCACACGTGATGAGAGATACGCCTGTGCCCCGTTGACGAAATATCCTCTCTGTCCTGAGCAGCTGCAGAGATCACCACATTGCAATTTTCCCACCCCGATCGTGATCTGCCACGTATTCCCACGATTTCCCACGGTCTCTTTTCTTTTCAATGCTCTTGACATGGATCGTCCCTATTCGTCCCTAATCGTGCCTAAATGCGCCTAATCGCACTAAGAATCAAGACATATCAAGACCTTGCAAGATTCTTCCCCAGACATTTCCCTGTGCAGAAATGTCATTACTCTTCTGCTTCTTCTGAAACTGGTGTCTCTACATTTTCTGAATTAGATGACGATCCGTCTGATTCAGTCAGAATTTCCCACTCAGAATCTTCCTCCAGTAGCTGGGTCAGGGTCTGACAAATAGGACACGTGCACTTGCTGTTTGCTGGCGGGCCCGCTGCAGCGTCAGCGTCTCCTGAAACTAGACTTGAATCTGGGTGATCTTGACCTTCAGGTTCTTCCGGAACGGAAGGCGCCCTCTCAGCCGCCGGGTGATTTTGAGCGGCTTCATCCACAATTTCTGTCTCTTGGGAATCTGTGACCTCTTCGAACTGAAATTGGTTCTCTGTCACGCTTTCATCATCGCATCGGGGCTCTGTCACATTTGGCTGGCTTTGATTGCGCACTTCAGCATCTGCATTCTCCACATCCACTTCTTTAGAGTCTGGTTTTCCATCTGAAACTGGCACACTGGCAAGTTCTACAACCTCTTCATCGCATTCTGGACCTGAATCGCCGTCATCCATCAAACAGCTGTCCAAATCGAGAATGACACGTGCACGCTTCAAAGGTGGAAACACACAACCACCAGAAGAAGATTGCACAGTAGCCATTGCGCAGTGTGTGACGCCTTGTGAGACCTATTGCGATTGTCCTGGAATGTCCTGAGTCTCTAAATGCTGCGGCAGTTTTTCTCGACCTTGCCCCAGCCTCGCTCCATCTCGCTCCAGCCCAGACTATATGCTTTCAAGCGTCACATCTGGCAACCCAGACTTGGTACTTGGTGTTGAACTCCGGAGGCAACATCTTCGATGTACCTGAGTCTGAGTTGCTAAATGTTCAATTACGTCCTTTTAGATTTGTGAGGTTAAGCATCGCTAAGCTCCTTTGATCTTTACAATTGCCTGATGTTGTCTGTCATGTCCTGTCCTATTCCTTCCATTTCATCCCAGACACATCCTGATATCTCGCAAAAGGCGTGCGGTACTTTAGGCACCTTCTCCATGTTCTTCATTCCACTTGAGCCGATGACTGCGCAAATCCTCTTCGATCTTCTCAGTGTGAAGCTTTCTTTCCAGATCCCCGGTTGACATGCATAGGTGGGGTAGGCACGTAGATTTATCCAGATAGGATTCCTGGGACCTAGGTCTCAGCTGGATATTTCTCCTGGAAAAATGTCAGTGCCAACCCTGGGCCGTACGTAGGACCGTAAAAAAATACTCAGCGCCACTTGGGTAAACATGTTCGCACAATATAGCTGGATAAAATTCTTGAAAAAATAGATTTCCTGTGTGCCTGACGTGCTTTTGTCAACTGTGCCGGGTGCCGGTGCTGGGTGCTGTGAGCTGGGTGTGCGCATGCCATGCACACATCAGACACCCAGTTCTGGAAAAGACCAGAACTGGCAACACGCACAAAAATCCTATTTAGCCAGTGTCGGATTTTAATAGCCGACACTGGAAGTAATACACACAACACACACCCAGTTCTGGAAAAGACCAGAACTGGCAACACACAAAAAAATCCTATTTAGTCCTATTTGGCCAGTGTCGGAAAATTGAATAGCCGACACTGGAAGTTGAGCCCAACGGTTCCTAAAGAAAAAGAAGATGAGTTGCACCTTTCGGCGCTATTATAC